GATAGATAGATAGATAGATAGATAGATAGATAGATAGATAGATAGATGATAGATAGATAGATATGAGATAGATAGATAGATAGATGGATAGATAGATATGAAATAGATAGATGGATAGATAGATAGATAGATATGATAGATAGATAGATAGATAGATAGATATGAGATAGATAGATAGATAGATAGACAGATAGATAGATAGATATATATGAGATAGATAGATAGATAGATAGATAGATAGAGAATATATTTCATATGCATTACTGTAACTATTCATGTTATTTATGAGTCCTCTGTAAAGCGCTTATTTACTCTGCTGGATGTTTTATGGGAGATGGCTGGAGATTTGCCATCAGCGTCTGACATCCATTCTTATCCTGAGATGAGCAGGAGACGTTCAGAAAGAACTGGTGTGCACAAAACAAACAGCGTACGAAATGAAAACAAAGAAGCCCACCAGAAAATCATTGCTGAAGACCTGAAGCAACATTTAAAAAGACCCCTTGTCGTTTAGCTCAGATGCATTAATGCTAAGTCACTGTTCAAGCCCTGAACGCTGTATTTGTCCTGCTGGCAAGCATCCACACAGTTGAACACAGTCCTGGCAGCGAGTCTGTGTCTTTCCATGAATCTCACGCACCACACCCTTCCACTGCTCCACTTTCTCTCTACTCATGTCAGTGTGTTCACAACCACAGTTCCCATAAAACTACAACAAATGACACGAGTAAGATGATGAGCCGACAGCATTTCAATCAAACTAATAACATGTAGTTTCGAATTAAAGAAAGTTTTACCAAGACTCAGCCCTACAAATGAACACAGGGTACAGACTTGTTTATGGTTTAACAAACAAAGATGGCGTGAATCAGAACGGTGAGTAAACAGTGCTTAGTTCCTCAGGTTTAGCGCAGTGTGAGAATGAACAGAGGAGGGGGAAGGTACATTAGACCGGTTTAACAAGCTCAAAGGAGGGAAAGGGAGGTTGCTTATTCACTGTATTGGATGCATACTTGCAAGATGAAGTGGAGTTTGTTTCTTCATCAGATTTGGAGAAATGTAGCATTGCATCACTTGTTCACTAATGGATGCTCTGCAGTGAATGGGTGCCGTCAGAATGAGAGTCCAAACAGCTGATAAAAACATCACAAGTTATCCACACCACTCCAGTCCATCAGTTAATGTCTTGTGAAGCAAAAAGCTGCGTGTTTGTAAGAAACAAATCCATCATTAAGACGTTTTTAGGTTGTGACAGCAGATCTCAGGCTTTGTTTGAAATGAATGTGAGTTTATTCTGCTTTCAGAGACATGTCAGAAGTCTCATGTTTAAGCACTGTGTAGTCAAAGTGTCCTGTGGGAAACTTTCTTAGGTTGAAATTGTGAAAATAAAACTGCATTTGAAAGCATAGTTCACACAAAAATGAAAACTCTTTCATTATTTTCTCACCCTCAAGTTGTTCTAAACCTGTGGGAGTTTCTTTCTTCTCCTGAACACAAAAGAAGATATTTGAAAGAATGTTAGTAACCAAACAGCCGATGGTAGCCATTGACTTCTATTGTATTTTTTCCCATACTATGGCAGTCAATGGCTACCGTCAACCGTTTATATGAGTAAATGACAGAATTTCAACTATTCCTTAACAACTGTTTTTCATTTTTTCCCCCGCAAACTGTACATATTATAAAGAGTGTTGTAACTTTTTTTTAAAGCTTTTTAAACAGACAAAGTGCGGAAATGCACTCATTTGTGTGCTTTCCTGAAATTTAAACCATAGAGCATGATGAACATGCATGACTTGATAAAAGCATCTGCCAAATGCATAAATGTAAATACCCACAATGTGTAGTTGAGAAACTGACTTTAAATACATCAAAAACTAGTTTGGATCTGTGCAGCTGCCTTTAACCATGAAATATGGGGATCAGATTGACCTGAAAACATCATAATCATAATAGAAAAATTGTACGCATATTTCACAACACTTCATTGTGTCGACACTTTGCAGGTATATTCATGACCTTAAATGAGAAAGTCACAAAAAAAAAAAAAAAAAATTTTTCCAACGACTTAAAAATCAAGATGGGTCAAATGGATTCATATCTTAATATAAGGGTTAAGTCCCGACTTTCAAGGTTGGAAACATGTCAAATAAAGAATGATGCCCGATAAGAATTGATACTGAACATGTTATAATTGCATATGTTTGCTGTACTATTTAGTTTGTGTGCATTTTGTGCCCTTTGTCAATTAAGAAGTGATGAAAATTGCCAGAAAATTGGACTCATTAAGCTGTTGCCCCATCACGTTCTGTGAGTGCACAAGAATTATAAAATACATAAAGCATCAAATACTAAACTAAACATAACCTTTCCTCTTTATATTGTTGCATTAGTGCCAATGTTCTTCTTGTCCTAGTCAGACAGCAAAAACATTGAAAAGAAATGTGAAATTGTTTATAGGACAAGGTTATTTTATAATAACAGGAATTCATTTAAAGACTCGTTCTTCTCTTTTCCAGGACTTCTGAACCAGATCTTTATCGGCAGCTGACTGAATTAATGACATCCAGCATCATCCTCCCCTCTGATTCAGAAGTAACATATTCATTCTACTCGTCATTTCCTGTGTTGTGATTGGCTCGTCTCTTCCCCTTCCTCCGTTCTCATTGGCTATCTGGGATTACATCGTCTGTTAGTGCCAGTCCCATTAAAGCAGGTGAAAACATGGAGCCCATTTACGCCACAGGGATGGCCGCGAAGCTGCGGAGTCAGTGGGACCGGGATGCGGGTTTGGGTCAGAACCACAATGCTGTGAAGCTCCTGGGCCAGGATTACGAGTCACTGAGGGCCCAGTGCCAACAGACCAGGACCCTGTTTGAGGACCCTCTGTTCCCAACCAGCGCTTCTTCACTGGGATTCAATGAGCTGGGTCCACGGTCCTCCAAGACGCATGGTGTGCGGTGGATGAGACCGACGGTGAGCTGACTGCAAGGGTCGTGAGGGTCCGATGGGTCTGTCTTGCATTTGTTTAGCAAATACTTCTTCCTTCATACTCCATCACTGCTTGCTGTTCCTCTTGTTCTCTTCCATTTGCCGTATTTTAAAGGAATAGTTCACCCGAAAATGTACACACCCTTAGGTCATCCAAGATGTAGATCAGTTTGTTTCTTCATCAGATTTGGAGAAATGTAGCATTGCATCAGTGTCTCAGCAATGGATGCTCTGCAGTGAATGGGTGCCGTCAGAATGAGAGTCCAAACAGCTGATAAAAACATCACAATAATCCACACCACTCCAGTCCATCAGGGTCTTGTGAAATAAAATGCTGTGTGTTTGTAGGAAACAAATTGATCTTCAAACCATTACTTCCAGCCAAAATATGAGTCCATAATCTATAATAACGCTTCCTCCAGTGAAAACGTCCATCCACTGCTGTCCTCTTAGATCAAAATCCAGCCACATATTTGTTTAGAGCTGTTTTGTGTTGTAAACTGTGTTTGAACTGTGCAGATTTCTCTCCTGATTCAGACAAACCCACTTTTTCACTGGAGGAAGCGTTATTATAGATTATGGACTCATATTTTGGCCAGAAGTAGATAGATTTGTTTCTTACAAACACATAGTTGTTGGCTTCACAAGGCATTAACTGATAGACTGGAGTGGTGTGGATTGCTTGTGGATTATTGTGATGTTTTTATCAGCTGTTTGGACTCTCATTCTGACGGCACCCATTCACTGCAGATGATTCTTTGCTGAGCAAGTGATGCAATGCTACATTTCTCCAAATCTGATGAAGAAACACCATCAGGCCATCCAAGATGTAGATGAGTTTGCGTAAATTGTCATTTTTGGGTGAGCTATTTCTTTACTAACGCTTTACACCTCGGTCATCACATATGTTCACACATTCCCTAGTTCAACCTTTCACTCTGCTTTTTACACTCTCTGAACACATTTGTAAGCACTTCTGCGTGTGTCAGGTCACCTCTACTGTCAGCGTCCTGCAGGATTTCATGGCTTCTAGTCAGTACATTAATGCATGGCTTTATATAACCACGTCTCTCGTGCTTGTTGCTATGGGATGCTCAAGAGCCGAAATGATTTATCAGGAAAAATGGCTACTCATCATTATACATTCATCCACCCTGCCTTTATAAACTAGACATGACTTTGAATCTGAATGACATACTCAGTGTCTTCACACTTTACTGTATGTGCTCGTCACCGACAAACATGATGCAGTTGTTGAAAGCAGACCTGAATATATATATATGTGTGTGTGTTTGAATCTCCTTCTAAAAATGCAAATCTAATTTAGCGTCATGCGTGTGTTTGCAGGAGATTTGTATGCGTCCCCAGTTCATCATGGATGGAGCGACTCGTACCGACATCTGTCAGGGAGCTCTGGGTGAGTCTGTCTGCGTCATCATCAGGGACGAGGACTTTACCTCAAACAACCCTGATTTTACCACATTACAACATCAACTAGCTGTTCATTTACTAGACCAGCGAACAGCAGACTGTCAAACAGATTTCAGTTTAAAGTCAAAAGGTGGGGTCGGTATAATTTTTTTAAAGTTTCTGAAAGAGGTTTTTTTTTATTTGCACCAAGGCTGCATTAACTTGATCAAAAATACAGTAAAACAGTAATACTGTGAAATATTATTGGAATTTAAAGTAAGTGTTTTCTGTTTGAATATATTATAAAATGTAATTTATTCCTGTGATCAAAGCTGAATTTTCAGCATCATTACTCCAGTCTTTAGTGTCACATGATCTTCAGAAATCATTCTAATATGCTGCTTTGCTGCTTAAGAAACATTTATTATTAATATCAATGTTGAAAACAGTTGTGCTGCTTCATATTTTTGGGGAAACCAGGATACATTTTTTTTAGGATTCTTTGATGAAAGTTAAATATAATGCATTTTTTAATTTCTTCACAAAAAAAAAAAAAAAAAAAATAATAATTTTTGGAAAAAAAAAAAAAAATACATACAAATTGTAATGTATGAAATGGATGGATTTAAAAATTTTTTTAAATTTTTTTTTTTATACAGAGTATACATATTCATGCATGCACAATATTTGAAATAAGTGCATTTGAATGCACTAATTGAAATAAAATTAACTAAATTAAAGCATTAAAGCACTTGGAAACTGGATAGGAAAAAAGTGTGCCATCTGGTGTGTCTCAAGACACATGAAGAGGAAAGCTATAGTAAAGTACGGTGATGTTTACTTTAAACACAGCGCCTCGTTCATAATTAAAGCCCTCCGGTCATTAAATAAAGAGCTGCTGTCTCATAGCGGAGCCGCTCATGCATTATAATGACATCATAATAGGCTACAGCGTTTAAACATGCAAAACCGCGAGGGAGCGCTGTGATTGGTCAGGATGTGTGTGGCGGCCCAGTGACTGCTGTTGTGCTTTTAAAAGCTTTAGTAAACATGTAAACAAAATGACTGACTGTCCCTCTTTTGTATCTGGTTTGTTTGGGTCTGGTGGCTATTTTAAGTTATTTACACATTCTCTGCGATATAATGCGTCACATCATCTTCCAACAGCAGATGTGCTGTTTGGGGCAATAAATTGTCATGTTAAATGAATCCCAGAGACTGTGGCATGGAGATGTAAAAATGAATAAATACAGAGAGGAATGATGGATAGGTGTTTAATACACTTTAATACACTAAAAACCATTTGTTGGTGGACTCCTAGATAGTTAGACACAATTTACTACACATTTATACAGCATAAAGAGCTAATGCATGTTTAACTTTAAATGAAACAATGTTTACTTATACTATACTTGTTTAAATGCACACACTTCATTGTTTGTGTGTGTGAAATTATATATATATATATATATATATATATATATATACACACACACACACACACAAAAAGTGCAATTGTACAGTTATTTTAAATGATAATAATTTACAATATTATTGTTTGTACTGATTTTTAATCAAATAAAGAAGTGAAATTTAAAAAAAAAATTTTTTTGTTAGTTATAGTTAGAGACAATTTTCTACACATTTATACGGCATAAAGAACTATTTAACTTTTACAATTATTTGTAGTGAAATAAAACAACAACAAATCCCTAAATCTTTCATCGTGGGCCACACCACCACAGACACGGATATTCAGATAATGTTTTCAATGACAGGTTCTTACAATTTGACCTCAGATATATTGAATATGTTTTGTATCACATCTCTTGTCTGCACTAAATCTCATCTGTTCATTATCGGTGGTCTGTTTTCCTCAGGTGACTGTTGGTTGCTGGCAGCCATCGCGTCTCTGACTCTAAACGATGACCTCCTGCACCGCGTGGTGCCACATGGCCAGAGCTTTGACGGCGGATACGCAGGAATATTTCACTTTCAGGTGTGACAATGTGACAAACGCTAGAACACGAGCACAGATCTAGGTCTGACAGTGAGAGAGTATAGTTTTATACTACACTTTTAAAAATAAAGCTTTCAAAAGGGGTTTTTGCAGTGATGCTATAAATAACTATTTTTGGTTCCCCAGAGAAGCTTTCCGTGAACGGTTCCAAAAAGAATCATTTTTGGCTCCCCAAAGAAGCTTTCAGTGAACGGTTCCAAAAAGAACCATTTTTGGTTCCCCAGAGAAGCTTTCTGTGAACGGTTCCAAAAAGAACCATTTTTGGCTCCCCAAAGAAGCTTTCCTTGAACGGTTCCAAAAAGAACCATTTTTGGTTCCCCAGAGAAGCTTTCTGTGAACGGTTCCAAAAAGAACCATTTTTGGCTCCCCAAAGAAGCTTTCCTTGAACGGTTCCAAAAAGAACCATTTTTGGTTCCCCAGAGAAGCTTTCAGTGACCGGGTCCAAAAAGAACCATTTTTGGCTCCCCGAAGAAGCTTTCCTTGAACGGTTCCAAAAAGAACCATTTTTGGTTCCCCAGAGAAGCTTTCAGTGAACGGTTCCAAAAAGAACCATTTTTGGCTCCCCAAAGAAGCTTTCCTTGAACGGTTCCAAAAAGAACCATTTTTGGTTCCCCAGAGAAGCTTTCAGTGAACGGTTCCAAAAAGAACCATTTTTGGCTCCCAAAGAAGCTTTCCATGAACGGGTTCCAAAAATAACCATTTTTGGTTCCCCAGAGAAGCTTTCAGTGAACGGTTCCAAAAAGAACCATTTTTGGTTCCCCAAAGAAGCTTTCCGTGAACTGTTCCAAAAAGAGCCATTTTTGGCTCGCCAAAGAAGCTTTCCATGAACTGTTCCAAAAAGAACTATT